TTAAAATTCCAAAAATATTTAAAAATTACCTTCATTTATGTTTAATATGAACAAAAATATAACAGACGGCTAAGCCATTAACTTATATCTGCTTGAAATCAAAAACAAGCAGCAAACATTGATTTTTTTTTGTTAAAGTGTCAGCTAATGGTTCCACTACCTTATTCTGATTTTTGAAAAAACCGGTAACGATTATTAAAACAAAAATTGAAACTTACAAAGTCTGTAATTCGAGTCTTATCAATAGTAACTCTTTGTAATTAACAAGTTAGTTATTCTAAATTTTAAATTTACTATTGCTTTAAGGAAATTTAAAGAGTCCAAAAATTTCTGGTTCTACTCTTAAATCGCCATGCATTACCGTCTCGATGATGGTGGGTGAGGTTTTCCGGATTTTCCTCACCTGTAAGTCAAATGGCACCATCAATCATCTTTAAGTCGCCCCGGAGCGCCACGGTAAATAATAATAATAATAATAGCCGCCCCTTTCCCCGCACAAGCTCAGCTTTTGTGGTTAAAATTCACTCGTAAGGGAGCGTTTAAGTATTATGTAACGCAATTTTTGGATATTTTTAACCCCCCTCTCCCATGTAACGCGCCGTAACGTTTTTCTGTACCCCTCCCCCCACCAAGTGACTATTTTTACCTAAAAATCACAATTATGTCACTCCATTTGAAATTTTGAGAAAAAAAAAACGTTTTAAAAAATGTGTGAGAGAATCTCTCTACGCGACTTTTCTGAAGGGTTAAAAAATAATAATGTAACGTATCGCATAGTTCAAACCCCCCTTTCGCCCCTGTAACGCATCGTAACGTTTTACAAAACCCCTCCCCCCCAAATTCGTTACGTAATACTTGAACGCTCCCTAAGGGGGTGAATTAGGGAGAGTATTATTATTATTATTATTGTTATTCTCTAGAACCATACCAAATTTTAGCAAAATTGTCTAAAGTTGGCTGAAGTTTCAAAATTTTTGGCCAAAATTAAAAAATCTTTGGTGTTTTTTTTTTCTCTTTAAAACGTGTACAAAATCCAAATATGTTACAACCAAGTAATTTTACAATAGGACTTTTCTGTTATATCGCATCCTTCACTAGTCATATTACAAGTTCATTGTCACTTCAGCCATGATGAAATCTTTGCTGAAGAAAGATAATCACCAACAAACTCTTTCTATGTAACACACTGCTGACATAAATTTAAGATTTTGAATGTATATTGTTAAACTAGACCTTTAGATATATTCGGTGAAATACCTTATGAAACAAATTTTTAAATTTATTTTGCATTAAAATAAATTAAAAATATAGTGAATTGTGCAAAGAAACAATAGTATTACAATATAATATTACTAACAAAAAAAGTTATGAAAATCGGACACAGTGTTAAAAATTAGCGCTACACATACATGTTATGTTGGGACTGGGGTGTTAATACACTGCGACCTAAAAGATCTATTGTGTCCCCTTCTGTCGCTAATGCAGCAAGGAAATGTCTCAATGCCTATAACGACCCTTCCAATCATATCTTCTCAAGGAAGTGTAGGATTTGGAGTGGCTTCAAGTGAGGTAAATATCCCCCTTCTATTTGATATGCTCCTAGGTATAGTGCCCTTGGATTCTGGAGTGCTACACATTCAGTTAGAATGTGAATGGAGGTTTCGTCCTCCTCCTCCTCACAGAATCTGCATTCACTATCTTCTACTACTCTACTAATGCGCCCTTTTAGTCGGCAATGCCCAGTAAGGATCTGTTACAATACGTAGCCTGTTCTTGCTCAGGCAGATGCAGGCTTCCGATCTTTTTTGGTTATATACACCCAGAAGTATCTTAGCCTGTCTCAGCCCCCAAGAGATTGTTCCAATTATCGGTTCTTCTACTGATCAATTGATATTTAATCTCTCCTAATATTATGTTACTGCTGATACCGCAGAACGGCTCAGGTCCCACAAAGGGGTGTTTGAGTCCCTTTCCTTGCGATACTATCTGACATCTCGTTTCCCTGTACCCCGTAATGTCCCAGGACCCAAGTGAGAGTAACTCTATTTTTCTCGCCTAGCTCATTCAATTGTTCTAGGCATCTCCAGACCATTTTTGAGCTGATTACGTAAGAGCTCAGCGTTTTGATGGCTGCTTGGCTCTCGGACATGATGATAATCTCTTGCCCACGATAGTTTCTCTCGATGTTAAACTAGATACACTTCTCGATTGCGTGAATTTCCGCCTGGAAGATGCTTGGGTATTTTTCCAAGCTTTCGGAGTGCTTGGTTCTCGGCCCATACACTCCTGTTCCAGTGTCCTTCTATGGTTTTGGAACCATCCGTATACCACTGAATAGCATGTCTTTCGGTTGCAAGCGCGATGGGTTCTTGGCTCCATTCGTTTTTGCAGCCAAGCTCTGTGGTTTTGAAGTTTTTCACAAAAATGTACTTCTTTATCATTTTATCCTAGGGCATCTAGCAGGTATCTCTGGTCCTGAAGCAAGTAGACTTTCGTCTGATTACTCCGTTCCTGATCATTCGATATCGTGTCCTTTTTGCCACATTCTCTATCATTAAATGTAGAAGGGTGAGGTCTAAGATCACCTCCATTGCGGCCGTAGGGCAGGTTCTCATTGCACCGATTATGCAAACACAGGCTAGTCTTTGTACTTTTGAGATACTAGCTCTCGTAGGAGCTAAATTAGTTCTGTTACTCCAGGCTATAGCCCCGTAAGTGATAATTGGTCTTACTATTGCAGTATACATCCATTGCAGTGTGTTCGGGTTACATCCCCATCGTTTACCCGCAATGTTTCTGCATACCGTTAGGGCTTTTGTGGCCTTATTTACTACTTCCTTCTCATGTGTTTCCCAGAGAAGTTTGTTGTCCAGGGTTAGGCCTAGATATTTTCCTTTGTATATCTATCCCGTCTAATTTTTGAGATTAAGTTTCCTTTTCCTTGAAAAGGCCTAGTGTTGTTTTTGTAGGGTTTATACTGTCCCACTTCACGGCATTATCTTTTGGTATGTTCTAGTCCTCGTTGGACTATATGACTATGTCGTCGGCATAACCTTGACAGGGTATGCTGAGGTCAGTCAATCTGCATAGAAGTTCATCTACGGTTAGGCTCCTTATTAGTGGAGATAGAACTCTTTCTTGTGAACATCCTCTGGTTAAACAGGTGGAGATGGTGCCCTGCCCTGTGTATCTACAGTTCTCGTAGAGAGCAGCTGAGCCATCCAACTAGATGTGATGTTATCTACTCCTGTGTATGCAATTGCTTTTCTGATAGATTCGTGTGGCCTGTTGTCAAAAGCTCCTTCTATGTCAAGGAAGGCATACACGACCGTTTCTTTGTTTGTCAGTGCATCCTGGATTACGTCAGTCATCTAGCTGTACCAGGGCAGTTTCTGTAGATATTCCTGCTCGGTACGCATGCTGGCTGTGGTGGAGTGGCACCCTCTCCAGAACTTCCGTTCTGATATAATTATCAACAGCCTTCTCCATTGTTTTAAATACAAAGGATGTGAGGCTGATTGGTCGGAAGGATTTAGGATGTGTGGTATCCTTTTTCCCTACTTTTGGAATAAAGGTGACTCTGGCCCTTCTCCATGCTTCTGGTATATATCCCAGCTCCAGACTGCTCCGGGATAGCCGGATTATGCGTGGTAGCAATTACTCCTGTGCCCGCTGAAGCAGGGCAGGAAATATTCCATCCACACCTGGATACTTAAATGGTTCAACAGTGTTTACAGCCCACTTTAACTGATTTCTGCTGCATATGTGTTTGGCCACTACAGCGGCCTCTCTTGGGAGCCTGCTTACCTTAATTTTGTCCCTTATTAGAAAAGGTGTGCTTCCAGGAAAGTGAGTTTCGAGTAAGAGGCGAGCTCTTTCCTCCTCACTCTCCGTGAAGCTTCCATTTGGTTTCTTTAATGACCGGTTCTTTAAAAATTAATATTTTATCTAGCAAAACTACATCCATTTTAAATAGTAGCCCTGAAAAATTTCTTGAGTCAACTTCACTTGCGTTTTCCTAATTTTCCGTAATTCTGTCAAATGATTTCGACATGGTTTGTCTAAAGAGACAATACTTAATGCAATTAATAACACAGCCACAATTATGAAATTTTGCTATAATTGCACGAATTGTATTATCCGTAGGAATCGGCCTATTTTCAAATGCAACTACAAATAAATTTATAATAATACCTAGTTATTTTAAAACGAAAACCAGAATCTATTGTTTTATCTTCACGCGGTATAGACTCGATCTGGTCTAGACTGAATGTGCAATTGGAGTCAACAGATGAGATCGGTCGGTGTCGCGAAGAATAGTGGGATTGCCAAAGCCCTACTTCTGCTATCTCCCTCTTATTATCGCTTCATATTAATAATCTTCTTTCTGTTGCTATTTATAGTTTTGCCCTATATCCAAGAAAAATTTAGGCCGAATCTATATATCTTATTGTCCGGTTCTAAATTAGACGCATCACTAATTAAATAATTAAACAGTTAAATTTGTTTGGCACAGCGATGCTACGGTACGATGCTAAGTGAGCTCGTCTTTTATGGCCGCTTACTCAGGTGATATTATAACGTATTGGTGTAGACAAAATTTATCATTAACAACAAATCGTTAACCTTGGGTGACCTCTGAGAATTTAAAATTTTACTTCATTTGACTGTGTTCCCTATCTTTGAATTTTATGAATTAATTTCCAGTGTTAAAAAATGGATTCATCGTTTACCTTCAATCCGTAAAAAAATATGTATACCCATAAACAATTATACAAATGAATCGCTTATTATTAAAAGGAACTAAGTCACATTTTTACGTTTTTGACTTTACAACATGAAACGAAACTTTGAAGATATTCCTTTCGAGGTTTGTATGCGTAAATGGGGCACCTAAACCTATCACTATCTGACGGACTATAACGTCTGGATTTATTAATAATTTTTAATAAAATTTCATGGGCCCATATATTGTAAATGTTCTTTTTTGCTTTTCTTACCAACGAATCCTCTGAACATACTTGCTGAAGGTTTTCAGGTTTGACTAGTAAAAGATTGCACAAAGCATGTAGAGTATCAAACAGTTCCATAACTAAAGGACCTAGTAATTTTGTACACGATCTATATTCATTTAAATCGCAAATAGCCACCATGGCACCTAAAAAATAACAATGGAAATTTATAAATGATACATTACGACGGCGAAACACGAAAAGTATGTAACTCGATTTTAATAAATGTTACAGTAGAGGCAAAAAACGGTTTTTTTTTTTTAAATTATGTCCGAGTATTTTGCAGTAACACTTTTTAGCAGATAGCCATTTTTATCTTTAATATTATATCACTATTATTTGGTCTTGTTTCTTCCCACAAATCAGCCATTTGGATTCTACTAATAATGGTATTATTGGTGTTAATATAGAACATATTATTAAATTGTTTTTGTTAAAAGTCTTTCATGTGTGGTGAGAAATTTATGGATCTCCCTGTATTTTTATTTGAGGGAATATTATTATTTTGGTTTTGGATTTGCTTTGTTTTTTTTTTATATAAAAAACTTCGGAATATCCTTCGTTATCTTTAACTGGTTTTTTGGAGGTGTCGCTCGATTCTCCGTTCTTATCTATTAGCCTTCTTTTGGAGATTCCGATAAATTCGTCTAGAGATTCTTCATTCAATTGCTGTAAATTCGTTAGCAACTCGTTGTATTTTTTTTTTTTTTTCGTTGACTTGGAAATATCTTGATCTACATCCATAAATCACTTGAACTAGTCAGTTTATATTCGGCTGTCGATAAGTGAGGATGTATGTTTATTAACATTACTCCGTATCTAGGTCAGTTTCGTTTGTTTATGTAGTGTAAATATTTTTTAATCGCGAGTGTTTAAAAAATCAACAATGACTGCTAAACGTAATGTTTAAGAACAAAAATAAAAATAATAATGTGCCATGAAAAATAGTTTTACAATGTGTAAAAAAAAAATAATAAAACAGAATCGACACCTGCCAAAGTGCTTTTGGAGCAAAAAAAACAGGACCTGCTTCAGGTAACTAAAACAAATAATATGGAAACGATGGAAGTGAGAGAAAATCTCCTAGCCCAACAATATCAGGCCTTATTCCATGAAAATCAAGCTAGAAGTCAGAATGAACAGGCATTGTACAATGCTTGGATACAGGAAAAAGCTGAAAAACAGCAACTAGAAAGTGCATTGCAACAAATGCAAAACAATATGGAAAATATGCAAAAACAAATAACAGCGGAAAGCAGAAACAATAGAAGAAAAAAACGAAAAGCCTCTCCTGAAACATCTCCTGGCCAACCTGGAGGTAGCAAAAATCAACAACAAGAGAAAGAAACAGTCGAAAAAACAGTGAAATTTCCACCGATAATAGCAAGCAACATCAATAAGTATGAAGAATTGCGCCATACACTGGCAGAAAATAATATTTCCTTTCAAGCCACAGCTCTAAGCAATAACCAGTTTAAAATTAATACTAAACAAGAAGAAGACTTCAAAAATGTCATATCAACCTTGAATGCCAAAAAAATAAATTGGCATTCCTATGAAGTTAAACAGAACAGAGACATTAAAGTAATGGTTAGAGGTCTACCATCCACATCTAAACCAGAAGATATTGTTGAAGACTTGCAAAGTCAAGGATTAAAATGTAAAGAAGCTGTCCATATAATAAAGAAGGAAATAGAATTAACCGAGGATAACACTCGTAAACTAAATAAAAAACCATTGCCCCTATTCATGCTATCATTCGAAAATATTGAAGATATTAAGAAAATCTACGAAATCAAAGCAATCCTTAATCTAAGAGTTAGAATAGAAACCATAAGAAAGTCAAAACTAGTTCCGCAATGCAAAAACTGCCAGCTATTTGGACATACGCACAACTTTTGCAAAAGAGAATCAAGATGCGTAAAGTGCGTAGGAAAACATCATACGAAGGATTGTGTAAAAAGTCCAGAACAACAACCGAAGTGTATAAACTGCCTAATGGAACATCCTGTTAACTACAGAGGATGTGAGGTAGCTAAAACCTTTCAGATAAGGAAGGATAACATCACTAAACCTAAAATAATGACGAGGCAGAACGCTTTTCCTATTGTCAGAAATGAAATAACATTTTCTCAGGTAACAAACTCACAGGAGCAACCAATTCAAAGGTCACAACCAACCATGAATCCCACGCCACAAATTGCGCAGCATACTTCACAGTCAACCAGCTTAGCAGAAAGTACTACTCATGAATTATTATTATTATCCTTAATAACCAGAATAGATTCACTCTCTGACAGGATCCAGAAGCTAGAAGAATTAAATAAACCCCCAAACATATAACAAAACCACCAATGGACAAAAAAGATATTAGAATAGCCACTTGGAATGCCAATGGTATTCTCCGAAAACAAACTGATATCCAAGTTTTCTTGGACGTACAAAAAATAGATATATGTCTGATTTTTGAGACCCACTTTACAACAGAGTCATACATTAAATTCAGAGGATATAACTTCTATCACACTATCCATCCATCAAATTCAGCAAGAGGAGGAAGTGCGTTAATTATTAAAAATAACATTTCCCACTATGAGGAACCAGGCATCCAAGAACCAGAAAATCAGGTAACCATTAGCACCATTAACATTAAGGGGGGCAAAATTACAATAGCTGCAATCTATTGCCCACCAAGATACAACCAGAAAAAAGAAAATTATCTCAATGTACTCAAAAAACTAGGTAACAAGTTTATAATCGGTGGAGATTACAACTCCAAACACACAAACTGGGGTTCAAGATTAACCACAGTCAAAGGAAAAGAATTGCACCAAGCTGCATCAAAACTTGGTTGTACATACCAATCTTCTGAAAAACCCACCTATTGGCCCACCGACCCAAATAAGATTCCAGACCTTTCTTTATTCTGAGGAAAATTTCACCAAACTATACACAAGTAGAAGAAAATTTTGATATGGATTCAGACCATTCTGCAGTAATCCTTACTCTAAATGATAATGTTATTCAAAGAGAAGCCAAACCGACCTTAGCAAATCGGAAAACTAATTGGGAAGGTTTTCAAGAGGACTTAACAAATACTATTCAACTGACCATAACACTAAAAACGAAAAATCAGCTAGATGAAGAACTGGAAAGGTTTATAGTTGAAATCCAGCAAGCTGCATGGATGAACACACCAGAAGTAAGAAGATTAACAGCTGGAAAAAACTATCCTGTCGAGATAAGAGAACTAGTAGCAGAAAAAAGAAAACTAAGAAAGAAATGGCAGATGACAAGATCACCAGAAGATAAAAATATATTAAATAGGGCTACCCAAAGACTGAGAAGAGAAATTCTAAATCACAAAGAAGAATCCTTCAACAGATACCTAGTAGGGCTAACAGATGATAAAGAAACTGATTATTCACTCTGGAAGGCAACTAAAAAGATGAAAAATTCGTGTAAACACTGTCCTACTATCAGAATAGCAGATAACAAATGGGCAAGAGACAATCAACAAAAAGCTGATATTTTCGCTGACCACCTACAAAAGACGTTCCAATTAGATGAAAATCAAGACACTCCTAATGAGACCATCCATAATATGGAACAACTTGAAATTAAGCTACTTACTCCCAATGAAGTTACGAAAGAAATTCAGACAAACATCAACTCACAGAAAGCCCCAGGATATGACCTTATTACTGGAGAAATATTAAAGAAAATACCGCGGAAGGCTATTGTTAAATTGACATACTTCATAAATGCAGCATTTCGCCTTAAATATATACCTGATGCGTGGAAAATGGCTGAAGTTATCCTAATTCCTAAGCCAGGAAAACCTCTGAATGAAGTGTCGTCATATAGACCTATATCATTGTTACCGATAATATCTAAGTTATTTGAAAAACTGTTACTAAAACGACTAAAACCAATAATTGAAAATAAAAATCTGATCCCTTCGCACCAATTTGGTTTTAGAAACAAACACTCGACAATAGATCAAGTACACAGGATAGCCGATATCATCGAAAAAGCTTACGAAGAAAAATATATATACTCAGCTATATTTCTTGACGTAGCCCAAGCATTTGACAAGGTCTGGCACGCTGGCCTAATACAGAAACTTGAAAAAATCCTCCCTAGACAATAAGTCGACATTCTACAATCATATTTAACGGGAAGAATGTTTAGAGTAAAGCAAGACGAGGCATACTCCAAAATAAAAGAAATTAAAGCAGGTGTCCCACAAGGCAGTGTGCTAGGACCGGTTCTTTATTTATTATACACCAGCGATATCCCTCAACAACAGTCTGTTAAAATAGCAACATTTGCAGATGACACTGCAATATTGGCAGTTGGCGGAACTAATACAGAGACCTCAGAAAACTTCAGGAAACCTGCAACATAATTAATCGATGGACAAAAAAATAGAAAATAAAAATAAATCAAACTAAATCAGTGCATGTTGATTTTACTCTTCGACCAAATGAACAAAAACAAATAAGAATAAACAATGACGTTATTCCGCGTCACGATTCGGCCAAATACCTAGGGATGAAGCATGAGGGTCGACTCCACTTCCACGTCAACGAAGAAGCGCTGCAATTATTGGACAACTCTACACTCAACAGAAGTCTCAAAAGGAAGAAGCCATTTGAGCTAGTGCAGTGAACGTTAATGTTAGTGCTAGTGTAAAACAGTGTAATAAATCTTCACGCCAACTTGTAATGCTTTCCTATAGAAACAATTAAGACAGTCCAATGGGGACTTCTTAGATAAGTAATTAGTTTGTAAAACAATTAATTCAGGAAAGGATGATACAAAATTTTCTACAGTGATAGAATACCAAGCTAGCTAATAGTGACGCTAAAATCTGCAATTCATTAAAATGTGGAGCTACACACTTTTCAGGTTTCGCCATCATTTTTTATAAATTTTGATTTTTTAGAATTTTCACAAATAAATTATAAAATTATATTAGATTAAAAAAGTTATTATTTAAGGATTAAAAAAAAAACAAAAAAAAACGTTAAAACATTTTTTAAATACCAACCTGCTGTATTATACTGAAATTGTAGCATATGTTCGTAAACTACTCTATGTAATCGAACGCCTAGTTCTTGGAGAATCGCCGTAACGTTATTACCATCTAAGTTTGCTTTAATTTCTTTTATAATACTGTTCACATAGTTAAGTACATTTTTGCAGGCCTAAAAGAATGAATCCCTTTGTATAATACATACATACTTACGGACCTAAAAAGTTTTGAGATTTCGATATAAATTATTTGTTTTTGAAAATAAACTTAGTTTTGTTTAATATATTTAGGCATTCAGTCAAATCAAAAAACCAATTAATCATTGTTTAGCTTCAGTCCTTTCAATTGATTTTTTGATTTTCCAAAAATAAATAAAAATTATAAGGAGCTAGATTGAGACTGTAGGGAGGGTGTTCAAGCAAATGCAATTTAATATCTTGTAAATGCTGAACTCAACGATGATTCATCGAAAATCGAAAATTTTCATTAAGAAACGTTGATTAGAATTGAAAATTACATTCAAATATGCAATTACACCGATCTATCTAAAAAATCAGATTTTTTCTAGATTTTGCATTGATCCCCCTAATTACGGTAATCCATAATTTTTTCTTTCTCTTCTTTACTATAAACATGATACACTTTCCTTTTCTTGATGTTTGTGAAGAATTTAGCAATTTTCTTAATGAAAATTTTCGATTTTTTCAAAAATAAACGTACTTTACTCTTGAGCAAAATTCATATTTTTTGACAAACCTCGTATACGGCTTAAAAAATTTGATATCTGATGACTGTATTTTAAGTTTTGGGTCATGCAGGATTTTTATTAAGAATAACTTTTTTCCTAAAATCAATAATAATTTTTTTTTTCATATGGTTCCAACTTAAGTAGACACACTGTATAATCAAATATAATTAATGAAATGCGATTTGTGTATATAAATTAATCGATTTTTGAACTTACGGAAGAAGCAACTGTATCAAAATCATCAGATTCCGGTTTAAAATCGGATTTTTTTTGTTCTGACTGGAGATATAATTTGACCCAATTAGATATGGCATTTAAACTTCTAAAACACAATACAATATTTAAAAAAATAATTACCTACTATAAAATAGATTATGTATAAAAAAATTGTATCTGACTAACCTATCTAATCCTGTATTAATTTTTCTTTCAATATCTTCTAAAACAAATTTTTTCTTTTGCAAGCAGTCATTATATTTTGGCGTATTCCTAAAACAAATTAAAAATATTATGGAGAAGAGAATCTTAAATACATACAAAAAAATCGCAGGTTTAAATATACAGGGTGATTTTTTAAAAAATGACACACCCTGAATATTTTAGATCATAGCACTGTCATTCCCCTCCTCTCAGACACTCTAACCAATATAAATCAGCCGCGGGAGGTGAGGCGATTAGAGAGGGAGGCCCAAGCGATCCAGCTGAGATGAATATGATATGGCAAGCTTTTTTACCTCTTCCACTGGTACGCTCAACTATAAACTGACAGTAGGATTCGTTCGCGCTCTATAGATACTATTTAATAATTAAATGAATATTAAATAATTTCAATGGAAACTATCCATAATTTTAAAGGTGAGGTTTTCATGACCAAACAATTCAAAATTTATGACATGGTGGGCTCTGGACTTATTCTCAACTATGAACTGACAATAGGATATGTTCGCGTTCTATGGATACTATTAAATTTAATAAACGAATATTAAATAATTTCAATGGAAAATATTCATAATGTTAAAGGTGAGGTTTTTATGACCAAACAAGGAAAAATAGAAGAAAAAAAGAAGGAGATTGAAATGGAAAGAAAGAGAAGGAAACAAAAGCTCAAAAAATAAAATGCAACTTCTAAACGATTTACTTTTTTTTTTTTGTATTTACACCCTTCGGATCTCCCGTGCTATACCCTAATCCGTCTATAGCCTGGCGGCACTGCATCCTGCGGCTTATTGTACCACCATTTGAAGGTCCTACTACTTTCTCATTCATCAATTCACTCCCTGATTCATCGTCATTCATTCCACGTCGTCGGTGGTTAACCGCTAGTCGGATAAGTCCCATAGTGACACGGCCCATGGTGGAACCTCCCAGCGGTCACCCATCCACGACGTGACCGGAGAATCACTGCTTAACTGTTGCGAGTATGTGGATGCACACTAAGCTCGCAGCTAGCCTCTCCGGCAACGATTTACTTTACACCTCAGGTATACATTTTGCGAATTGAATAGTAGAAAAGAATAAAAAAAATGTAATATGCAAGGTAACTGTGGAGAACTACATAAATAATGATTGCTTAGGTGGATCTACATGTTTTGTTCAGACATGAGTATTGTTTTATTATAGTTAATTTAAAAAATATTAATAAAACTATTGTTAATCAAATAATTTGTATAAATCCTTTTTAATTACCTATATTTTGTTTCAGATTAGTGCATTTAAAGGAATTGGTGGAAATGAAGCAATTTGCCAGCTTTAGGGCTATGCCAGTAAAGTAACATCCAAGTTATTCAAAGTTTCCAGAATAAAGTATTAAGGAACATCGTCGATGCATCCTGGTACTGCCGTAGTACTGATCTTCATAGGGGCCTTAAAGTGGAGACTGTTGAAAATACAATACAAAAATTTGCCAGTAGTCACCAACAACGACTACTCCAACATGAAAACCTTGTGATTATCCAGCTCCTCAACAATGCCAATCTAATAAGAAGACTCAAGTAAACCAGGCCGTTTGAGTTAGTTCAATGATGTTAAATTAAAACAGAGTATAGTGCGGTTAAGTGTTATACGTTAACGGCAGTGTAACAAAATAATTAGACTGAGTAGAATCTTAGTTTATCAAGTTTTTCATCCCTAGATAAGTTAGGTAAAAATAAAATTGCTAATTGATCGCAATGATTAGATTATAATAATCGTAAATGTTTCTTTACTTGGAGCATTTATTAAAAAAAACCTAGTTGTTTCAAATTAGTTCATTTAAAGGGATTGGTGGAAATGAAGCAATTCACTTCTATATTTTATGAAATATTCTTTGAAACATATTTATTTATTTGTTTAAGAATCAATGTTTGAGTTTTGTGTATTTTAAATAAACATGTATATTTTTAAATGTCTTTTTTTAGTCTAATAATATATTAGAAGAAAAAAAAACTAGAATACATGTCTGAAATATTACTATGTAATATTTCTAAAGATTTTAAATTTTCATTTCAGAAATATTACTGTGAAATATTATATTTACAGGATATTTTTACGTTTCAGGCATATTTCAGAAATGTTTCTGGGATGTTTCGTAATATTTATACAACATTGCAAATGTTACAATGTAACATTGTTGAAACATCTCCGAAATCTGTCTGTGCTGTATGGGTAAGGCCGAAACCGGTTGTCATTTAACTTAATAAAATTTATTTATACCTAAGGGATTCATTTTGAGTTATTGTCTTACAAATATACAAGGTGTTCCACTGAAAAACATGAGGAGAGTGAAAGTTAAAATGAGTATACATGAGCAGAACGACGTTACCCTTTATATGATTTTCGACTTATTTTTGTATTTTTTTTATAAAAGCCCCACCTTTAAAATTATTTGTGATAGTTTTCATTGAAAATCTCTGTACAGGGCAAAGTTTTAATACAATGATGTTGTACCCATTTATCATCTCTGGTAGGCGAATCGTCATTTCATTGGTGATATAAAATCATTGGAAAGTCATGAATGGTTATTTAGCATTTTACATAGAATTCAATGTAGGACTAAATTATAAATTATTTTTTAAATGTTCCGCTTGTGGAATTATGAAATCAATAACCACAAATAAAGACGATTACCTTTTGATGTAGCGTGACCTTTGGTCCATCTTAAGGTGACCACTTCTGCCAAAGCTTCGTGACATTCTAGTACTAACCCCAGAATCAATTCGTGGTCTGTTCGAGGTGAGTAGTGCTTGTCTGCAGTCTGTATAGATAAGCATGTTCCTTCGAGTGACATTGTTTCTGGTTAATTCTTTTGCTGCTATGAGAATTCCCGTTAGCTCTGTTTGAACTACACTGGCACTATTGCTCACAGCTCATTTTATGTTTAGGTTTAAGAATCTGGAGTATATTCCACATCCTGAGCCTTGTTTTGTTTTAGAACCGTCGGTGTAGGTATGAATCGTACTTGCCATTTCCGGCTCTTCTATTTGTTCTATTATAACTTTATATGGCTTATGGAAGATATATCTCGGTGAGATGAAGCAATGGAAGTGTATCGAGCGCCTTCTGCCAAAAGCGACGTCTTGCCTCACCAGACCCTCTAATCAGGTTCTATTCCAACCGTGCGGAGGCGTGTCATTATCGTCAGAGCAACCCCCCTAATGTAAATATCAAGGGGAGTGAGACTAAGAATGGCTAACATGGCTTTGGTCGGTGTTGTTTTCATGGCTCCTGTTATGTTGAGAAATGCCATTCTTTGATTTTGTTCTAGTTTGCAGATGGCTGTTAATTTTTGGGTTTTCGGTAACCAGACAACTGCATCGTATGTTAGCATAGGTCTTATGATAGCCGTGTAAGTCCTTGCGACGACTCTGTAATGTATGCTCTTTTGATTCTGTTTTCTAAATGCGAGTTCCATGTTAACTTGCTGTCGTCAAAGGTGAGACCTAGGTACTTCACCTCTGTTGCAAAGTTTAGTTTTGTGTTTAGGAGGTCTGGAGGTTTTAATTCCATTGTCATCCTTTTCCTTGTGAAATGGACCATTTCTGTCTTCTTAGGATTGATAGACAGTGAATGGTCCTTGCACCACTGTTCGATAATTTTTAGAGCTACTTGCATTCTTTCGCAGAGTATGTTCTCAAAATTCCCTGTTTGCAGATTGATCAGGTCATCTGCATATGCTATTGTGTAGTGACTGTCATTATTGAGGCGGCTGATGAGGGTGTCGAGGACCATATTCCACAGTAGAGGTGATAGCACCCCTCCCTGCAACCAAACCTCATATTTACATCTTCTACACTTATGTTTACTGCTCGCTATCAATACATTCTCCATAAGTCTTTCAAATGTCGCAGGGGCATTACATAGTCCAAATGGCATGACATTAAATTGCCACAAACCTGATCCGGTGGTAAAACCTGTCTTTTCTTTGTCTACTGGGTCTATTTCCACCTGCCAATATCCAGACTTTAAGTCTAAGGTAGAAAATAGTTTACTTCCGGCCAATGTGTCCAAGGTATCGTCGATACGAGGCAGAGGGTAACTGTCTTTCTTGGTTACATTGTTCAACTGCCGGTAATCCACACAGAACCTCGTAGTTCCATTCTTTTTCTGGACCAGGACTACCGGAGAGACTCATGGACTGGTAGAAGGTTCTATCACCCTGTCTTTCTTCATCTCCTGAACAATCCTTTCAGCTTCCTCTCTCTTGGCCTTTGGTAATCTTCGAGCTGATTGACGAATCGGCCTGGCGTCACCAGTGTCAATTTTGTGTTTTACAACAGAAGTTCTTCCTATTTTCCTCCTTTTGGTACGAAAATGTCACGATATCGTCGAAGAAATTCCTTTATTTTTTTCTTCTCTGATTGATTCAGAGATTGACCAGCAACTGCAATCATTTGCTCGAATTTGTCGTTGGAATTATTAGAAGTTGTTGTCTGACGAAATATGGAAGTTACTGGTACACAAGTTCCGATTCTGGTCTCTTTCTTGATGGTAATCGGGTGATCATTAACGTTTATGAGACGAACTGGAATTTCTTTAGCAGTCGTGACCAACCCCTTTCCGATCAGAATGCCTCGTCCAACCTCTTCATCGTGGTTCCAAGGTTCCATCATTACAGGTGTTCCTTCTTCCATAGTTTCTTGAAGCCGTGCTACTATAACGGTTTCACTTCTGCCAGGTACCACCGTATCCTCCTGTAAAGCAACTGTCACGGTACTGTCCCCATATGGATGTAGGAATACCTCTTCGGCACCAACTTTGATCACTCTGTTTTTAAAGTCCAACTGGAAACCATGTAAGTTCATTACATCAATTCCAAGAATCACATCTTCTTCAATATCAGCGACAATAACAGTATGAGTGAACTTTTCTGTTCCAATTCCCAATTGAACAGGGGTTTCCCCATGGATGTTGGCACTTTCACCTGTGGCAGTCCGCAGTCGCAATCTTGTTGGTAGAAGTCTCTTACAGTTCTTTATGGTTGTTGGTCGTATAATGGTCCTAGTTGCTCCAGGATCCACCAACAGTGTATACTCTTTACAATTTACTTCGCCATCTACGTATACACTATCATCGCGACATTTTAAAGAGGCTATCAGTATGAGAGGGTCTTTGGAACGGTTTCGGGTCGAAGCTGCCCCCTCTAGGCCGACCCGCTCTAGTTTTCCTGCGCGTGTTGTCTTTATCTTTTTATCAGTAAAGGTCTTCATTATGTTAACTAGTTGGTCGAGTTTATCTACTACGTTTTCTTCTTTTACAGTCCTTACTTTACTGTACCCACCAGAAGCATGCGTAGCTGCCTCGTATTCTAAAGCAGCAGACAAGACATCGACCAATGTTTTGTGGCGGGCTAAGCGAAGTGTTTTCTGCATCTCGTGGTCACGGAGTCCATCAACAAATGTTTGGACTGCTAAACATTCCATCATGTTTTCCGGAGCTGATGGGTAGGCAAATCGCACCAATCTGGCAATATCTACTTCATATTCTTGAAGAGTCTCGTCTCGTTTCTGTTTGCGATTCTTTAACTGTGACTGGTATAGATGCTCCAAATGTTCGTGACCATATCGCACATTTAGTCTCTTTTTGAGTTGCTCAAAATCATCTGTCTCTTCCACGGGTATAATCTGAAGGACGTCTAAAGCGTCTCCTCGAAGGGCGATTGTCAGATTCTCTTTCAGACCATTCGTTTGCTCTCGCAGCTGTCTCGAACTGTTTAAAGTAGTTGGTCCATGACATCTTTCCGTCGAAGGTTGGAGCTTTGACACGAGCAGAGTTTACAGCTCCTTCCAATTTTAACTTCGATTCTACCTCATGACACTTTATTTCACCGTCCTTGGTCGGGTCTGAATGTTCCAGTCCTATCTTCTTTTCTATCTGTTTTATTTTTTCTTCAACGGAAGACATTATTTTCTCCTCAGCGGAAGTCATCTTATTTTCCACATCAGCAGAAATTTCATCTTTCAAAGAAGAGATTTTGTTTTCTAAATCGGAAGAAATTTCGGTTTTTAAAGAAGATATGTCAGAAGACACCTTTTCTTCTAAGGAAGAAACTTTACTATCTAAGGAAGTAATGTCTAAAGAAACTTTAGTTTCTAATGAGGAAATATCATTTTTAATAGAGGAAAGAAATATCGGTTTTCATAGAGGTCATATTTTTTTTTTTTTTTTTTTATTTATTTTCTACCTTATAACAGATTGTTACAATATTACTTTTATAATATATATTTAGGTAGCTTCCTCAATGGTGGAGTGACGAAACTTTGGTTTCTAAAGAGGAAATTGTGTTTTTCACAGATTATATATCGGAAGAAATTAAAGAAATTATAGAAGAAGCGTCATCCGAAAATAGATACGTTTCCGGATCCAAACCCTCACTTATTAATTCTTCTTTAAGCCGCTCTACCAGTTCTGCTTTCTTCCCTGTCGTCTCCAACTCACGATCTTCTAACTCCCGACGTAGCTCGATCACTTTTAAATGATACAGTCTTTTAGCCATGATTGTTCACTATTTATTTATAGTTCCACTTCTAACACCAATGTGACGAAAGTCTAATTTATTTTTAGTTTATTTATTTAAAAACATACTATTTACAATTTATTTCAGACGTACTATTTAATTTATATTATACTTAGACACTAACTAACAATTCTAATTTATTTTTTACACTTTTACTTTTCAATACATTGTTCTATATTAAACTGTCAATAATCAACTAAAGTGGGCGCCGATACGTCGGCTATTTATATTAATCCAACTCCGCTACTGGAAGATACGAGAGGCTCTCGAACATTCCATTTGTATGACTAAACGGCACTCCCCGCCGTTCCAGCTGTTTCTAGTACATCAGCGGCAGGCATTCCGTCGTATTCTTGTATATTCGAGACGCGGGCCGGCTGTTTCCACACGTCAGCGTTGCTTCGATCACGAGTCGGTTGCCATGTTAAGGTTGCGTGCGTACACAGGGTCGGATTATGAATTTCATGACAATATTTTTCGATATATAAAAATAACACCACGACGTTAAATTGTTAAAGTCCTATCGAGCGATAGTTATCTTTAGATAATTTATCGGACCGATAGTTATTCTTTCAATAACGAGATATATCGGAAACCGGCCATTAATTGACTGAATTAAGCTCCCGAAAACTACTACTTCTCTTGAAGTCACGGTTCCGACCATAGATAAAATAACAAGTAGTGTGCCTGCTCCGCCAAATGTGTGACTGGCGATGCGCGAACTTTCCAGTTTATGCCAAGATAAGTAGCTGGTATTGAACAAGATATGCTTTGGTCGCCCAATTGAGAAGAATGAGTTATAATTGCAGAAAAAAGTAATAAATTAAACGCTTTTTTGTTAAGTCTGGTCCTACTATACTTACTCAACTAATGGAACCACTAAATCCATGAATTGTTTTTCAAGAAGATGTGTAATATTATTGCTTTGGTGTACCACACTAAAAAAGTATAATACAGGAGGATTTTTGGATCCTTCCCCAACAGGTACAGCTTGCAAACCTAGTTCTACGGCATAATCGACATGCTCTATAAGTAAACTATTTATCAGTCTGTCTAAGATTTGAGTTGCATTTGATGCTCTGTCATTGTTTTTCGATAACTAAAAGTACTTTATATTAAAAATATGTATATAGAAATAGTGCATTTTATTACCAACTGACAACGTTGAAAAGCCTGTTTAGTGTCTTGGAAAATTGTTATAGCCAATTCCTCAGACAAGAAAGTTTCGCCACCATAATTTTCTATTTGGGCTATATTAATATTTGCTCTTGTACCTATCACTGCTTGTAAATCTCTTCTAAGGTCTTGGAAACTAAAATTTCATTACAAATAGTACCACTCATGATTTGAAAATTAATATTCTTACCCGCCAGATTGAATCTGCTTCTTTTGATGATTTTTTGACTCATAGTACTTTTGTAAATTTGCCGAACATCTGTCTTTCAGGCATTTGAGTTCCATTCTAAAACGCATATTTTAATTTAGTTGTTTTTTAAGGGAACTTTAAATATTAACTACACTGAAGTGCAAAATTAATCGAACAAACAGATTTTTATGTATTTCTTCGATTTTAGATAAAAAAAGTATTTAATTTTTTGGAATTTTATTTAATATCTTACTAACGATAACGTTTCTTTCTGGTTCGAACCTGGTTAGATGATGTGAAATAGTGTCTAAAATTAAACAGCATTATTTTAATATTATTTTGACATTTTACGCGTTTGCCAGGCTGGCTTTAGATTTTGTTTTTTATTTTCTCAAAAATTTAAGAAAAAAAGAAATAGCACAAGCTGTTGCTCTACAGCGGGATTACATTTTTTAAAAGTGAATAAAGGAAAAAAACAGTGTTTCTAGCAAGCCTCTAAAATAAAAAAGCTCCTCTTCAGCTTATATTTTTAATAAACCCCCTTCCTTCTACTAAAAAAACCAGGGGCCTATTTCATAAAACTATTTCAATTTGCACTTTGCATATTTTACTAAATTTATGTTTTATAAAAGAGAAATTTGATGAATTAAAAAGTAAAATTTGAGAAGCAATTTGAAAATTGAAAATATTAATAATCTGCAAAGTTAACGATGCTATTTTATGAAACACAAAAATTTTGTAGTCGTAAATTTACAAAGTAGTTTTATGAAATAGGCCTCAGGTCCTTTTTCTACGACGAGCTTCTAAAAGGATAGAAGGACATTTTAAAGTTTTAAAAGTCACAAGGACGATTTGTTTGATAAAGTACTGTCCTTTTCAAAAAAGGACAGGTGGCAATCCTACTTTACAGCAGGTATTCCCAAAGTAGTCGATACCGCCCCCTTGGGATCGAAATCGGTTTCCCAGGGGTCAACATAAACGAAAACTGATTTTGGGGGTCGACGAGGTCTAAAAATCGACCCCTATTAATTAACACAAGTTCTTATTTGAAACTTTCAAGATACTGTATAAGTTATGTTACGTGTACCAACTTATAAGAATGAATAATATTTTAGTAGGAAGTATCATTGTTGTACTTTTAAAAAACTCAAAAAGTCAATAAGCGTGGACAAGTTCATGCACGATAATGAGTTAGAGCGTACAACTCTTTCAGGCACGTTTTGACTTGCTCTGTATTTACGCGATTTAACACGAACGAAATCATGATCAATTTCAAATACAAACATGCTCCTGATATTTTACTATATAACAAGCTTGCACTTAGGTTGAAAGTTCATTTTCGTTTTGAAATTCGTTGGAGCTTGAATGATAATACACTGATCTACTAATTTATTTCAAGAGATTACAAAGTGATTACATAGTTAAATAAAGTGATTGAAAAATAATTTACAAAGTGCTTAGTTACCATACATTTCTGCAGTTTATGAAAAAGTAACAGGGTATATATACTTAATATGCCAGTCTCAAGTTTGTGTTTAAACTCTCAATCATGTGTGTTCTGTGTAGGCTTTGTTACTGTTTCCCAGCGCCACTTCAGGAACAGCACTGTTAATTAGAACCCAGCAGTGAATGGTCAAGTGGGGAATCCTACCAAGGCATCAGAATAATTTTAAATAATTAAATTAAATAAAAAAATCCTGGTCAACGGTGGGATTCGAACCTGGGACCCTTGGATCCGCAGGCAGAGACTGCCACTGAGCCACCCACCCCCTGTAACAGAGTAAGTACCAAAAAAACGTTTTTATATTTTTAGAAATTACTTAAGGTTTATATGGACCCACCTCTTCACTCGTTTCTGACTCTAGAGATGGCTCTACCTGTCGAATCAAATTTAGTATACACTTTATTAAAGTTACAGGGTTCTATCTGTGATAGAATAATATTTCGTTAGTTTATATCGCCGCCAAAAGAGACTGCTAGCACAATAATAGATTACGCGGGAGATCTTCATGATTCGATGCGAAGAACGTTGTCAAACTTCAATACAATTATGTTTTATTTGTTTATATTGTAAGCCGCGGGAGGTGAGGTGTTGAGCGCGGACGGCCCAAGCGATCCAGCTAAGAGATGGATATGACCTGGCGAGCTTTTGTTAAGTCTTCCACTGGTCCGCTCAATCATTGTCAACTATGAACTTTACTGAAATAAAATTATTTAGGGTGAGCGCATTATCCTTAAAATATGGTATAAAATTATAACAATATAATCTATGTGGTTTGGCGAATGGACTCAGTTGGCGCAGTCAAAAAATTGAAAAAAAAAACTGACTGGAGGATACGTTCGCGCGCTATGGTTGGGTACTATTTAATAATAAAATGAATATTAAATAATTTAAATGAAAACTATCCATAATTTTAAAGGTGAGAATAGAAAGAAAAAAAATAGAAAGGGAAAGAAAGAGAGAACGTAAACAGAAGCTCAAGAAATGCAACTTCCAAACTATTTAATGTACACCTCAGGTATACATTTTTGAAATCGAATAGTATAAAAGAATAGAAAAATGTAATAGTATACAGAGTAACTAACTAATATGTACCTTAAAGGTAAAAAATTACTCAAAATCAATCCTACGTAAATTAATTTTAGGAAGTTAAATGACAACCGGTTTCGGGATTAGGCCATCATCAGGTCTAAAAATACAGTAATAAGCGCTTACAATATAAGATGTCGTCTCCATAAAATATTTAAAAAAAATACACGTGTATGATTAAAAAGGCAGTTGTAAGAGATATGATATGTGGGAAATATGATAGAAATTGTACAAGTTGAAAAAGGTTTGCATAAAGAAACTTATAGGCTAACACTATTCATCGCCATATTCTCACATTTATCAACATGTCCCAGTGCAGTGGCGACAGAAGGGGGCACAATAGATATTTTAGGTCGCAGTAATTTAACACCCCATTCTCAACATAACATAACATGTCCCACATATGATATTTCTTACCACTACCTTACCCTTGTTGGGGCTCGGTTTTAATCATGCACGTGTATTTTTTTAACCTTTTTATGGGGACGTCCTAGTAGTGTTTTGTAAGCGCTTATCACTTAATTTTTAGAACTGATGATGTCCTAAGGCCAAAACATTTAACTTAATAAAATTAATTTATATGGGATTGGTTTTGAGTTATTGTCTTACTAATATATAGGGTGTTTCATTAAAAAAAAAAACAAGAATAGTGGTCATAACCGGGGAGGAGACCGTAAAAGTTACAACGAGTATACTACGAGCAGAATTGTCCCTTTATATGATTTTCGACTTGGTCTTGTATTTTTTCATGAAAGCCTCACTTTTAAAATTATTTAGAGTGGATAATTTTCATTGAAAATTCCTGTATAGGGCAAAGTGCTAATACAATGACGTTGTATCCATTTTTCATCTCTGATAGACGAATCATCATTTCATTGGTGATATAAGATCACTGAAAAGTCATAAATGATGCATAACAAAAAACTGGTTATTTAGCATTTGTCAGAGAATTCAGTATAGGATTAAATTCAAAATTATTCTTTAAATGTTTCAATTGTGGATTTGTGAAATCAATAACCACAAATAAAGAAACTTCAAAGATAAATCTTCTGGCTACTACATCTATTAGCAAAGGACATAACACTTTGCAAGAAAATTTGGTAAAATTGGGTATTTCTTCTTTTTATATTCTCACGTTTTGCATGTTTCTTAATAAAATATGTCACAATTAATGAATTTAGGGGTGACCATTCAATAATTATATCACTAGAGCCTTAATCATATTGCCTTGAACTTGGCTTCGTAGTCCTTAACTGTATCAGGGTCCTACTCTCGACATTAGGACCTAAAAGGGCTGAAGAAAACACAATGTTTTCCTAAAACAAATAGTATTTCTATTAGAAAATATGATATTTAATATTCGGCAATTTATGAGTTTTAAGATATAAGCCGAATAACACGTTGTTCTAGGCAACAGTCGTACAAACTACAACCATAGTAATTGACTGTTTTGACTAGACTGCTTTACCAGGGAATATTAATTGTAAATCATGCCTCTTCCATTACCTTAAGGGCTAACAATTTCTGTGCAACAAAACAATTTTACAAAATACTTCACAGCTGAACATACACAAATATGGACCAACACTATAATAATATAATAATACTCTCCCTAATTCACCCCCTTACGAGTGAATTTCAACCCCTGAAGTCGACTGAACGACTTGTGTAGGGGAAGGGACGGCTATTATTATTATTATTATTTGCCGTGGCGCTCCGGGGCGACTTAAGGATGATTGATGGTGCCATTTGACTTACAGGTGAGGAAAACCCGGAAAACCTCACCCACCATCATCGAGACGATAATGTATGGCGATTTTATAATCTGCATGTTATATCAATAGAAATTGAATTTTCTATTAATACGGCACACATCAACATCAAATCCTAAATCGAACCATGCAATTTAATTAAAAATCCACATGGTCTGGTCTGGGATTCGAAGCCCAGCAGTCTCGGACTCATAAACTTGCCTATAAATGAATATAAGCGCGTTAGACCGCTACACCATCGACCCACCATCTTTAAAACAATTTAGCTTACCAACTGCAATATCTGCGACACATGTAACAACAATTTATTAAAACCGCGATTTAAAATACAAACGGACTTTTAATTTTCTACGATGGAGATCCAGAGGCTTCGATCGAAGTCTCAGTGATCAGGAACCGCTACTGGGAATATCCTACAAGGAGGCTCTCTTATGAACCCGATGAAGAGGATCCTCTATTGTGGAAAACGCCCTGTGTGTCTCTTTGAGGTTACCTATATAACTTCTGCATAGTTTATTGTTATTAAACTAATATTTAATAATAATTAAATAATCAATTTTGTACATGATTGCAACTTAAAACCAATTCGCGAAGTAATTAAACAAACTTTTACGTACAGGGTTTTATTTAAATAATTAATTAAAATTTGAAAAAATGTGAATTTATACGAAGCGTGACAATAATATTAAAGTTATAACAAATCGAAGAGCCGGACGAGGCAGGTACGAATCATA